TCCATATTTATAACTATGAATGAGGTCACCCCTCAGCCTCCTCTTCTCCAAGCTGCAGAGCCCCAGCTCCTTCAGCCTTTCCTCATAAGGGAGATGTTCCATCCCTCCATCATCTTTGTGCCTCTGGGCTGGACTCTCTCCAGCAGTTCCTGTCCTTCTGGAACTGAGGGGCCCAGAACTGGACACAATATTCCAGATGTGGCCTCACCAGGACAGAGTAGAGGAGGAGGAGAACCTGTCTCAGCGTACTGGCCACCCCCTTTCAATCCACCCCAGGATGCCGTTGGCCTTCTTGTCCCCCTGGTCCCACTGCTGGCTCACGGTCAGCCGGCTGGCCATCAAGACCCCCAGGTCCCTCTCTGCCTGGCAGCTCTCCAGCCACTCCTGCCCCTCAAGCCTGTCGTGCTGCCAGGGGTAGTTGTGGCCAAAGTGCAGAACCCGACATTTGGCCTCATGTGATTGGCCTTGGCCCAGCGATCCAGCCTGTCCAGATCCCGCTGCAGAGCCTCCCTACCCTCAGCTTTCAACTAGAAAACATCTGGCGCCAGCGTTACCGCTTAGGGATGGGTCGCTTCAACTGTCACGTACCTGCTTGCCAAATGGAGGTGCCCAAATCTACCTGAGGAGACTTCCTGGCGCCGACAAATCCCAGGGCATCTTCTAAAAACTGCATCTTCTTACTAAACTGCATCTCCAAAATGGGGATCGCTTCCGGCATCTTTGCTGACAAGAGCCGGTAAGAGGTGTCGGGCTTCCCGATAAATCTCTGACGGACGCTGATTTCATACGGCGTGTGAACTCTGATATCATCCACATCCTTTGATTCGAACCGGTGGATGACCTGAGAATTGCAGTCACCGATTTCCAGGCCAGAAGGAAAGAGCGTGAGTTTTCCTGGCTTGACATTTGAGTCTGTTCTGTGGGTGATAATAACTGGAATTCTAATTATGATTCCTTCCTGGTTCTTCGAATCGGAAACTGTGGCAGTTTCCTTTGGCTTGGCTTCCGAGGGCGCTTTCCAGAGCTTGCTGCTAAACGGCCACCAAGAAGGAGATTCGAGCTCAGTCAACAACCTAGAAGAGAAAAGAAAGTATGAGAAGAGTGCAAACCAGTAGGAGAGTCATAATAATCCCCTCACCAGTTCAAAGCAGACACAAAGATTTCTTAATATTAAATCCAGCCCTCTTATTTCATTCCTCAAAGCTATTCACAGCTTCCCAGGATCCATTTATTAGATAACCCAGCTTTGTTTGTTGTGCTGGAAAGCGGTCCCAGAAGATCCCTGTTCCGCTGCGAGAAATTCAGGATTTATTCAGGTCAACTGACACCCAGCCATTCTTCAGCCGACACCACCTTTTACTTCAACGTTTCCACACTCAGTCATCACCACCACCTGCTTTTTCCTACCCTCCCCTCTACTTCAGCCCCCAGTGGCAGCCTGATGCCACTTTTTGCTTTGCCCCCGTACCCAAATCTCCATTTCCAGGCAAAATAGGAAAAGTACAAGGCTGAGGCTGAAGAGCCCAGCAACTGCTGCCAAGGAAGACAACCAAACAGCCAAAAATAACACTGGGAGTCAAGTTCTTTATTTCTAAGCATGAAGATGCACCTAAGTAGGCATCTCAGTTTATCAGGTGTTGGGAAGAATCAATGATATATGGGAAGGACACGATCCTTCTGTTCTATTTTCAGCCAGCACAGCTCTCCAAACAAAGATTTCACAGATTTCATTGGGTCTAAGCTTAACTCTTGCCACAAAAAAAAAGAGAATTAGTTGATTGTTGCTTTTTTTTTAAAAAAAAAAAAAAAACAAAAAACGTTTTTGGTAGGACTTCAAAGTGCAGAGGTGTATCTGGATGATCAGGATCATGTTTTTTGGAGTTATGCTGTGTGGGACAGTGTTTCTTTTTAATGACATCTCTCTGATTAAGAACACTTCCTGTTCACATTTCTTAGAATTAAGAATTTGATCACCTCTATCCAGAGAGGAAAAGTACACTTAAACCACAAAGGTGATGGTTTCAGTTTTGATTTTTCCACCAGGTCTAGACAGAGCCACAACCAGTACCTCTGATGCTTCATTTCTCCCACTCTCACCCCCTGCCCATCACCCAAACCCACCCCGCTAGCAGAGGATCCCATATTTCAGGGTAACTCCACCTCAAGGGTTGAAAAGATATTTTGGGGCCAACTACATCTCCTCAACACAGTCGATGGTAATTTCGGATCCTCCCCGATCCCTCCCACTGCGCAACCAGCCACCTCCTCTCTCATCTCCAGTTGCAGGCAGGGATAGGAAGAAGCAAAGTCAACCTTCTGGGATGCATCCACTGCTCACTCGATGGAAAAGAGCCGTGAGCCAGCTGGAAACACCTCACAAACCAAAGCGGCCCCATCAGGATGTTTGCAGTGGAGATTTCTCAGCCCACCCAACCGAGCGGAAGGGGGAAGCCACCTCTGGAGGCACAAAGGGATTCTCAATTAGCTAAAACCAAACAAGAATAAAGCTCTGTCCTGGGTTTGAGCTAAGACCCAGTCTTATTTAGTGATTTTTACTTTTCAGTTTTAGTGTCTTCTAAAAGGCTGCACTTTCTGAAGTTAGCAGCATGTTTTCGTAGACAATATGTGCTAGTAGCAGCGACACCACCTGATGTTTACAGTCACGGCCTGGCACT